TGTAACATCCAAATATATGTTGATATAATAAAAGTAATATTTGTTTGCGTTTTAGTGACTATATTCGTGCATATAACATTATTAAAATTGGAAAATTAAAATTAATTCGAATTTAAAAAAAACTCAATTTTTTATGTATCAAACGTAATGTACAGTCTTTAGGTGTCACGAACCAATTAGAGCATTCGTATCTTAAGACATTACTTAAGACAGTCTTCAAATAAGAACTGACTATATGAATACCTAATACAACCTAGTACAAACCAAGCATAACTTCGTATAAATTTATAAATATTAAATAATAATTTTTTAAATTTTGTCTCATTTTTAAAAAAAGAGTACAATAAGTGAAAAGTAAGAGTACACTGTTTTCCGACATCGAAAAGAGTACATGTACTCTTTAAAGAGTACGGTTGGTAACCCTACATATTACAAGCATATATCCAAACAAAAAATTATTTTAAATTAATTTAAAAAATTATTATAAATTGGTCAAATACTTTCACGTATTTGACTAATTTATAAGAGTATCATGAAATCTTCAAATTATGATTTTGAAGCTTACAAGAGAAATGTCATGAGAAATACGATTTGAGTGTACATAACCTCACATTTAAGCGATATATAAGGTCTAACAGAACAAGAAGTGTACGTGACGTTTTACTTAATGGTTTATTTAATGTACGTAATGTTTTCCTTAATGTACGTCAATATTTTCTTGATGTATGTAATATTTTAATTAAACAATAAATGATGATATTAAAATACGGTATTAAAAACAAGCAACAAAATAAAAGATGACAATATCTATCAAATTATTCCATAAATTTAAAAATGAGAAATGTTTCGACTTTTACATAAGTCCTTTTCAATTTCATTGATATAATATACACAATAATATAAATTGTAACAATAAAAAACGAAATCCTGTTTCGGACTCTCTTGATTCAAAAAACAATAAATTACTAATGATACTAGGGCATATGAGAGTTCTAACGTGGTTGTTGGTACGTAGGTAATGTAAGGCGAAGTTGTTAAAAAATCCTTTATTTATCAATTGATATAATCATCCAAATGTAATTGATACGTTTCGACTTCCATTTGAATCATCTTCAGTCTATATTATAATCCTCACTGCATGTAAGCAACTCAATATCAACTTAGCAGAACTGATGCAAAATCTTACAAAAGAATGCAAAGAAGAAGTCGATAATTATACATAATAATTCCAGATATTTAAGTCATGGATCGAGAAAATCGTAAATGTACATAATAAAACATGATTTTATAAATTGTAACGCATTAAAACGAAATAATATGGTTAATCAGTCAAATTATTGTCCATCAAGTCAGAAATAAAAAGTATGAAAATTGTTTTGCGAAACAATTACTTCTGACTTGATGGACAATAATTTAACTGATTAACCATATTATTTTGTTTTAATGTTACAATTTATATTATTGTATATATTATATCAATGAGATTGAAAAGGACTTATGTAAAAGTCGAAACGTTTCTCATTTTTAAATTTATGGAATAATTTGATAGATATTGTCATCTTTTATTTTGTTGCTTGTTTTTAATACCGTATTTTAATATCATCGTTTGTTGTTTTTTTTTAAATATAACAAGCGTTATCTTTGTATTTATATGAATATTTTAATTGTAATTAAAAATCTGTTCTATCGATAATACAGGCGGGTCCAGCATCACTTTAAAGTAAAATTTTCTATGCCAAACTTTATTTTTAAAAAGCGCGGCTTTCTATTGTTGAATTTTCGCGAAAGTGCTGAAACTTAACCATTTTCCCTGAGAGATCGCCGGTTGTGTTTTAATGTGAAATTTGCGAGAAAGGAGAATCCTCTGTTTAGGAGGAAAGAACGTGTGGCGATTATCGCGTCCATGTTTTCCTACGCCCATGGACCATGAACACAGTCTTATGCTCGTGGCGCGGTGGCACAAACTCAGATTGTATGTATGCACTCGCGTCTGTATAACCGACACAATCGCAGTATTACGCGTAGCATACACTTCTAATTTTGCCGACTAAATTATATGTCGCGTCAACTAGCATTTCGGCAGATCTCCAATTCGATGATTACATATAAAGATTACATATATAAAGTTTAAAATCGGAACACCTCATCAGTCCATCTCTATTAATGTAAATTAACTTTAATCTCGGTTTAATTTTCTTTTTATTCTTTTCTAATTTTTAGAACAATTATAGAAAAAATAAATTAAATCAAGATTAAAGTTACATTGGTGTAATGAGCATAAGATGTATGTCTTTGCGGTTCTTGCAAAGTCTTTAATTCTTTATTATACGACTTACGTGGGTGTATACCATAAAGCACCTCCACATCATAAATTTGCTAAATGTATGAATATTATTTGGGGGGTGGGGTGTGGTGGTGTACATTTTATATTTATATACTATATTTATTATGTGTGGCACAATTGTTTCACAATTTTAAAAAGACAATTTTATATTCGTTTTTATTAAAGGTGTTTAGAGAGAGAATATTATCTATTTAATTATAAATTATCAAAGACGGGGAGAAAGAACAATGAAAACTGACATATATTGTGGAGTGTCAGAAATATTTATCTATATACAGTCTGTCTAGTAAGAGCGTGGCAGGCCTATCTCAAAGAAAAATGCCTTATTAGCCTTAAGGAGATCCTAAAGCCTCCTGTATTACCGACTAAATCGTATAATTTTTGTATCGTAAATACTTTTTTTGTCATTCACAGATTCGAAAATCCTTTTACAGAATTAAAGTATACGCATTAATACGTGCCTGTGAGGTAGAATCTATGCTGAAAACGATAAAAAATTTTAAAATTGAGTTCTTTTTTACCATTTTTTAGTCCAATATGGCGCTCCGTCGTTGCATGTCGTAACAACATTTGTTTTATATAAAAGCTGCGCAATCTGTACTTAAGAAATAGTAGTCCACAGGCACGAAGTTTGCATGAAGAAACAGCGTGGAGTTCTTAAAATTAGATTTAGATGTCTAATTAAAACATAATTACGATACAAAAATCTATGTATGTGTGTGGCGTGCGTGAGTAAGATAGTGATGTTGTCAATGACACGTAATCGTCTGTGTATAACATGTCGTTAAGGATCCCCTTAAATATATATTGATTGTATTCAGTAGGATCATGGCCAAAATGGCAATTATATTAATAAGGAGTCCAGTTACCAGCTGCGTTTATAATGACTGGCACCTCCAAGGCATACTTTCCACTACAGTCTGTCTAGTAAGAGCGTAGCAAGGCTTACCCAGTCGAGTAAAGATATACTCTAAATTTTTATTTTCGCCGATAGGTGTCACCTTTGTTTGCATACATTATAAGCAAAGTATCCGTTATTACTTGAATTGTGTTAGCTTAAACGATTTTCAAAAGGAGTTACCTACGCGTCTCGTTTCGAAGCAGGCTTTATCTCTTTACTGACAATCTGAATGCAGAGAAAATGTTAAAAATATACCAAAAGCTTTGATTCCGTCTACCCAACGCTGGTTTATCAGTAAAGATAAAGATTGGTTACTCCCGGAGGATAATGACTCCGAACACCGAAGCTGGCTCTGCACGTCCTGGAAAGAGGGAAATGACATCGAGACACTCCACTGGCTTTCACAATCACCCGATGCGAATCCCATTGAAAATGTGTGGTCACTCATCAAGAGGAAGTTTCGTGGAAGACCGACATCAACTTCGAAGCGTTTAAAAAACGAAATTCGACGAATCTGGAGGTCTTACCACGTGAATATGTGATTTCTTTAGTATTTTATTATAGACGCAGCTGGTGACTGGACTCGTTATTAATTTAATTGCATTTGGCCATAATCCTACTAAATACAATCAATATAAATTTAAGGCTAATAAGCCATTTTTCTTTGAGATAGGCCTGCCACGCTGTTACTAGACAGACTGTACTACGCAAGTAATTACGGTAAAAAACCACGTAAGTGATGTAGAATGATGTATTGTATCCTGATTTTAAACTTTTGTCATTTGGGCTGTTCTTTTGTTTTTCGAGTAAGAGAAAAATATTTAACGCAAATATGAGCGATAGATATATGATAGGTTAGATCGAAAACAGCTACTCTCGTCGATGAATCAAGTGATGGAAATGACAAAGGCATCGACAGCGACGCGATAATGATGATAGGCGATAACAACGTTTTCCCTCTTTACCGCTTCGCGAACGACGGCTATTAATACTTGATTGCACCGTTCAACTGCGATGTATACCCTTAAGCTTCAGTTACTCGGTGCGAAAACTAACGCGATAAACATTGACATCGACCCTTTGCCGCGAATCGAGACAATAACGCTATCCTTTGTCGATGATTCTTTTGGGATGCCATTAGAACGTGCCTTTCCAACAGGCTTCTTCTTTTATCACAAGATATCGAAGTTGTTTCTGTCAGATATATGATATAGTTGTAGCGCGATTCTCTTATGATAATGTGGCTTCCACATGTTATTGTCCTTCATGCATTGAAAAAATATACACTTGTTGCGTAATGAGCAAAAAAGGTAGATCATGATGCACATTATTGTATGATTATTATTTTTCACTTTTAATTGTCATAAAAAGTTATAGATCATTATTGTGGAAAGAGAACAGTTTTGCTGCAGTATTTAAAAATTCATCTGGATACAGATCTAAATAATTTTGTTGAATTGTCAGAATATCATCAAAATAATAATCGTCATATTAATACAATAATTACGTAAAACGCTTAAATATTGATGATAATACTACAAAACGATTTAACGTTCTAGTCAGTTTCGTTTGTTTTGAGTGTTTTACATAATTATTTGAATAGTCCAACAAAATGATTTATTAGATTTGTATCTAGCTAAATTTTTAGCATTAAGAAAACCATTCTTTCTGTATAGCTATTATAGAGAAAGAGATTCGTATGTATATAAATAATAATGCAGAAATTATTCACAAGACTCTTTTTTTCTTTTCCAGTGTCCGACAGCTACAATAGTTATATAAATATGTATAGTGGAGGTGGGCAGTTTGCAACCCCCTGTACTCCGAGCCCGCCGCGAGGTCCCGGCGGCGTGCCCACCAGCGTGATTCAGGCGGCTACCAGTTCGGTCTCGGACGATCTCTACCTTCTCGAGCTCGGTTTCCCGTCGCGTTCGAAGAAGAACAAGCTGAAAAAACCACGGCAGGCTGGCGAGGGTGGAGCTGCGGTGAAGCGGAAGTCGCGTGAAGGTTCGACCACGTACCTGTGGGAATTCCTGCTCAAGCTGCTGCAGGACCACGCATACTGTCCGCGCTACATCAAATGGACAAATCGCGAACGGGGCATCTTCAAGCTGGTCGACAGTAAGGCGGTCTCGCGACTTTGGGGCATACACAAGAACAAGCCGGACATGAATTACGAGACGATGGGCAGAGCACTGCGCTATTACTATCAACGCGGCATCTTGGCGAAGGTGGACGGCCAGCGACTGGTCTATCAGTTTGTCGATGTGCCGAAGGACATCGTCGAGATCGATTGTACGAGCGCATGAGACAAGGAGTTGACCTCCCGTCCCGTGGGGCATGAGAGGGAGAAGAAGGAAGAGCAACAGCAACAGCACAGCGTCTCGGCGTGGGCCCCGCGCGGAAGTCGACCACCGCCGTTGTTGTCGTTGTCGTTGTCGTTGTCATCGCTGATGCGACGTCGCGGACCCGTTGCGGGGCCCCATCCGCACGAAAGGTCGCCATTCAGCGGTTCTCTTTATCGAGACGCGCCGACTTGGCACATCTCTCAGATGTTGTAAAATGCGTTCTCTTTTTCTTTCCTTTTCTTTCCCACACCCCTCTCTTTTGTTGTCTGTCTGTCTCTTTTTACCTGCTTCTCTATCCCTCTCTATCTTTCTCTCTAGCTTTGTTCCTTGTACTATGTAAATGTATATTAAGGCGCCGCGTGACGATGTCGTCAGAGGTGATCCTCACGACCCAGTACCTCGTCCTTCTCCTGCGGCCCATTTCTTTTTCGCATGTCACGTAGGACAGGACGGCGCCTGATTCGTTAAAATTTGTATAAAATTTAGTTCTTAACGTGTCGAGAATGAAAACTAAATATTTAATCTGATGTACCTTGCGGGCGGGACATCATGGACAAATTACTTAAGCCGCGAAACACCGGAAAGCGAAAAATTGTATATTCGAAAGAGCGACAAATTATTTATTGTATATTAGACGTTTATATATGTTACCTAAGAAAATTGTTACGCGCGTGATCTGCGCAAATGGAAAATGTATGGAAACGGACGAAAGTTATTAAAAAAAAAAAATTGAAACGAAATGAGGGCTGTGAAAAGGATTACGATACGGAGAGGAGAAGAGAGGAGACGAGATGAGACGAGACGAGACGAGACGAGACGAGACGAGACGAGACGAGACGAGACGAGATGAGATGAGATGAGATGAGATGAGATGAGATGAGATGAGATGAGATATGTAGTGGAACGGGAACGGATGAGAAGCGTCTCTTGAAGTTTTATGAAGCGAGCTCAGGGAGGGGTACACATTATATTTTTTTAAGTATAAGCGAAAGGGTTTGACCCTTTCGATTCGTGAGCTAAAGGTTCAACAACGCAAGGTGCTGGCTAATATACATACATATACTTACACACTTGTATACACACACATATACATACACGCACACCAAGGTCCAAGAAAATTATTATTTAGCAACTTAGTGTTATTAATTCGTAAAGATTATCGATGCGAACAATTATATCTTTGTATATAAATATAAAGAATACCTTTAGTAGATATATATATTATTGAATATATTATATATATTATATAAATATATCTATTGTATGTTATGTAGTAAAAATGGTGCGATTTGATGTGTCTCTGAGATTTTGGCGTCATGGCTATACGTTGGGTGCTTTTAACCGTCTCGCGCGACGTCTCTCTTTTGAAACTTTATATACTTATCTAGTTTATTCTTATATACATTATATCGGGAACGAATTTTATACGTTCAGGAGCGCCGATTTCGCGCTCAAGCCTTCTAAAGTCGCAGTCATGTTACAACGCGCGCGCGTGCGCGTATATTGCTGGTTTCGCATGCTCAGACTGATTAGAGACGTCGCACGTACAATATAGAGAAGTGCGCCCGACGCATGGAAAGCGAAATAAAAATGCATAACTCTAGAATAAAATTTAATTTATTAACGCCCCGGGACGCGTGATGTGCGCGAGTGCAAGTGTATCCTATAGTCCTAAGTTTTGTACATAAAGAGGAAATTGTCAAAAATATTATTTACGTTTAGGATGAATGATTAACGTTAGTTATTCCCGCGATTATTCGCAGGAAAAAATGAAATAACGGACGGTAGAAAAAAAAACAGGTGAGGAGTGTCTAGCTAGATCACGCGCGACAACTAATGTGGCCGATCGCGTATACGTAGGCGATTTGTCGTACTACAGCTTCAGGATATATCGGAGAAACGAAATATAACAGTATATTTGAACAGTGATCGAGTGCTGCCAATAATGCTTGTAAATTATCCTATTGCACTTATCATTCGAATCGACGCCCTTCGAGTCGAGTCGAGCCACACCATGGTGCTGTCAGATCAACCCGATGTTTTTGGGACACCAGATATACCGATGATACAAAGCAAATTGCCTTCTCGTATTAACAAAGACGTGTTGCCTTCTATTATAACAAAGAAAAAAGATGCATATAAAAGTTGTAGCGATTTGTAATCGTAAATGCTGTCACTTTGTCCAGGTACTTAAAAGCCCTTTACATATTACATATAAAATCTTAATATCGTTTTGTGACAAATTGAATTTTGTAATTTTATCAGCGAAAAATCCTTTGGTACGTGGTAACTTTTATCGTACTTCGAATACAGTGTATCAGCGGGAAATAGTAATAATATTAATAATATTGATAATGATAAAAAAGATATATCAGAGTACAATGGACAAAAGTACCTATATAGTATACCATTTCTATACATGATAACGGACACTTATAAACAATGAATGGACACTACAACAGAAATCCTATTTTTAGGTAAATTAAATTTACATATATATAACAATCCACTACACTACGAGATATTTTAACAAATAAGACTTTATTATAATAGAGATAAATACATAATTATTTACCTGTAAAATATATGAAAACACTATGAATTGACGTAAGGAACTCTAATGTAAACGTTCTGTGATTCGTTGTTTGTAGGTGAAATTTAATAAAAGATTATTGTATCATAATATACACATTTATGCGATTTTCATTTATTCCCTATACTTAATAAATTTCCTTCAATTCTCTTATATATAGATTTCAATTTTTATATAAAGAATATTAAAGAATAAAAAAATGTGAAATAAAATACAGAATAAAAGACGAAATAAATTTTATTTAAACAAATCCAAAAAAATCAATATCTTCTTCTTGACTCTCAAATTCCAAACGAATCCGATAAATATTTTCCCTATATAGGAGGCTAATGAGAGTGCCACGTTGCTGTTGGTACGTCAAACAACTTCCTTGGATATATTAAATCCTTTATTCAAAAACACATATAGTACGTTTCGACTCTTTTTTGAGTCATCTTCAGCTACATAATAACACCCAAATTGGATAACCGAATAAGTCACATCGAATTGGTAGATTTGATGTTCTTAATCTCTGTGAAATACAAGCTGATATTTTAATATGTTCTTATTTATAATAAAAATTCATGTGACTCACCAAACGATATCCAACCAGGAAAATACAAAACTTAAAATTAAAATATCATGGATTGTCATCATCTTACGCTGTTACAACAAAATTTTTTTCCGTCAAAAACTAAACAATTTGTCCGAGTGCACAATAAAATATTACATGTAGTCATTATGCTGTAAAATCTAGACTGAAATATAACCTTCCTAAATCCAAATATCTTTCTATAAATGTACAATTGTAAGTCAAACCGATCAAAACATAATAAAAACAAAAACATGCATCAACAATTTACAAAGTTAAAACATATCATCGTTATTAAAATTGATGCAAAATAATAGTAAAATCAATTTATGTTGTGTTTTATTTCATCTAGAATTGTTAAATAATTGTAATTCAAGTCTTCTGTGTCTGTTATTTTATTTAAACTATTATCTTGCATGTAAATATGAACGCATTCGGAAATTAAACGTCTACCTAAGAATCTCTCTGTATCCAAAATCTTTACTTTATCCCAGTCAAAATCATGTCCAAATTCAATCCTATGGTCAGTAATCACTGATTGTACTTCTGTATTTCTATTAATGTGATTACGATGTTCAGTAATTCTTGTTTTTAATTTCCGTTTAGTTTGTCCTACATAAGAGGCATTACAATCACGACAAGGTATCTTATAAACTACATGCTTTTTTTGTAGTGATGGTAGAACATCTTTTTGCACCCTGATGAATTTATCCAACTTATTAAAACTTTTATATGCTATTTTTACATTACGATTTTTGATGCGTTTATTAAATTCTTCTGAAACATCCGGTATATAAGGAATTAAAAACCAATATGAAGTCTCATCGTCAGTGTTATTCTTTTTACTTTCATTTTTTTTATTTTTTATTAAAAAATTTAATCTTGTGTTAATTGTATTAAAAATTAAGTCTAATGGATAATCATTATTAATCAAAGTGTCAACAACATGTTCCAAGTTTTTTTGATGATATTTAGGATGTGATAACTTAAATGCTCTATCTACCATTCCAATAATAACACCCTTCTTATGAGAGAGAGGATGCATAGACAAAAAATTAAGAATTCTGCCTGAATATGTGGGTTTGCGAAACCAATCAAACTCCAAAAAATTATTATTCATAATAATTGTTAAGTCTAAAAAATTAATCTTATTTCCCCCTATTTCTATTGTAAATTGTAATCTATTGTGAATTGAGTTAAAAACATCCAGAACATCATCAATCTTATTCTTTGGAATCGCCATAACAATGTCATCAACATAACGGAAATATAACGGTATTGTTATTCCTAACTTTATTAATGCTAATGATTCAAGGTCCCTCATGACCAAATCCGCAATGATTGGTGAAAGAGGTGAACCCATAGGAGTGCCGAAGTTTTGTTTATAAAAAGTACCCGCAAAACAAAAAAATGTCGAATTTAATACAAGTTTCACAGCAGAAATAAATTCAGTCTTGGTTATATCTGTCATATTTCTAATGTAATTCCACCTCATATCCACACTCTCAATAGCCTTGTTAATCGGTATATTCGTAAATAAAGAGACCACGTCAAGTGAGATCAATGATATGTGAGTTATATGATTTAGCTACTTATTTACATGAAATCATATCCAATAGTGTGCCTAAATCTCCAAAAAACATAGATAATAGTTTTGAATTGATAAAAAAATTGAGAGGAACTAAATTACAATCGGATCATATTTTGATCTCACTTGACGTGGTCTCTTTATTTACGAATATACCGATTAACAAGGCTATTGAGAGTGTGGATATGAGGTGGAATTACATTAGAAATATGACAGATATAACCAAGACTGAATTTATTTCTGCTGTGAAACTTGTATTAAATTCGACATTTTTTTGTTTTGCGGGTACTTTTTATAAACAAAACTTCGGCACTCCTATGGGTTCACCTCTTTCACCAATCATTGCGGATTTGGTCATGAGGGACCTTGAATCATTAGCATTAATAAAGTTAGGAATAACAATACCGTTATATTTCCGTTATGTTGATGACATTGTTATGGCGATTCCAAAGAATAAGATTGATGATGTTCTGGATGTTTTTAACTCAATTCACAATAGATTACAATTTACAATAGAAATAGGGGGAAATAAGATTAATTTTTTAGACTTAACAATTATTATGAATAATAATTTTTTGGAGTTTGATTGGTTTCGCAAACCCACATATTCAGGCAGAATTCTTAATTTTTTGTCTATGCATCCTCTCTCTCATAAGAAGGGTGTTATTATTGGAATGGTAGATAGAGCATTTAAGTTATCACATCCTAAATAT